AATGAACTTTGTATGGCTGCTGATGAGTTTGTTTCAGTTTGTCAACAGGCAGCAGATTTGGTGCAATCTTCCCGTTAGATTCTATTCTCGCGAAGATGGATTCATTCATCCGACCGCGATTCGGATGAGAAGAAGAAGAGGAATACCGTATTCGTGTTGTGCATTGCTGGTCCATAGCGTTCCGTGTTGAACGTATTCACCCCAAAGAAAGCCCTAACCCCAAAACTTGGATGCTATTCCCCAGATTGCACACCATCCTTCTAAGAATACGATGTTTTTGCACGGGTATTCGATGATCTGTTGCGTGGTGCTGCGGCTACTGCTGCTACTGCTACTGCTGCTGTTACTATCGTGCTTTCATTTGTACCATTATTAATTTGTTGCCTTATTCAGCTCAGTTGTTCTCGTTCACCTCTTCACTTCGAGATCTACAAAAGGAAAATTTTTTTTCGTGAATGACATTGCAGGCAGTCCAAAAATAGGGTAAACAAACGGATTTTACGTAATGTTGTTAGCAGACAAAATGAATGGTGACTGTGCCGATCTCGAAGCAAGCATTGTACATACTTGTATTATTTTGTTGTTGTTTGTTATTTCTTCGTTGTTTCGCCAATCCATCCTATACATAGGTGTAAAATGAATCGTTCTGCACTTGATTGAAAGCTTGTACACATAATTAACCAGTCATATGTTTCTGCTTGGAACGCAAGTGAAAAATTGTCATGATGATGGGAAAAACAAGGACTACCATGCAGTAAAGATTGACCACCTCCGAAAGATCATGCTGAGGTGGTCGAATCTCACCAAGACTTTTTCTTTTGTGAAACCGACAGATAACGGAAAAGTGATTGTCTAAGAAGTTAGATCAGCAATTCATCCTCTAACTAATTTTGATTGTAATGTGGCTGCTTCTCGTTTTATATTTTGCATTATGCAAAAACCAACAACGACAATGGCCATCATAGTGAATCTCTCGTGTATTTTGCGTCTCAAAAACGTTTTCTGAAGTGCCTCCTCATTCCGTTTCGTTTCACTTATTTTCACGTATCATGTGAAAAGAATAAGATCCATTATTGTTCGTTGATAAAAACTCTACTGTATTACGCATATTCGACGCTCGTTTGTATGCTTTAAGTTGTTCTGACGGTCGATCCTCCAGCAACGTCCATATCCTTGCCTTCCTTATCTCGCCTTTTATTCGTTTTCCCTACCAATTTGTTTTATTGATACTACTATGTTTAAGTGGCACGTCAGTTATACTGACAACAATCGAATATTCTGATGTTTGGCTCAATTCGAGTCATGCTATGTATCTTAAAAAAAAACCCCCAATAAACATCACCTCAATTGACGGGTAATATATGAAATCTCATCAATAGGCTGACATTTGATTTGAATTCATAACAAGCTAGACAAACCATCCGAATGGTTTATGAGTGCTAGTTTTTCATCATCTGATTTCTTAAAAGGTATTCAGCGCATCAGTGTTGTTGTGTTATTACCATAAAATTCAAGGAGAATGCAATCATAATTTAAACGATAGCAAATGGCATGATTCGGTCAATGGGAATGATGAATTTTTGTTCAACAATACACACTTTTGCCCTTGATCATATGGTTGCCATACAGTTGTCTCAAGTTTTTATCAATACTTATTAAATTATGGAATTCAATAAGCGAAAAAAAAAAGAAACTTCTAAATGATTTTATTCAATGTGGCATGGATTTTAATAGAAGTGCTGGAATTCATTTATTTGAGCTGATACAAATTTTAACATGCCTTGAAAATGAAAATGAGTGTAACAATGAGATGAGCAGCTTGAATTATTGGCAGAACATATATCTGTATATATTGTTCTATCATTGATATTTTTTGAAGCAATCAGTTGAATTCGGCCAGAAAAAGAAATTTTTGGCGCCCAGTCACATATCGACTCATGTCAAGTATTTACTTATGAGGTTTAATTAGCTCACGTCGAGGTTGCAGTGAAGAGGCTCTTCGTCATTTCAACCAGATAAACAATCTCTATTTTGCAAACAAAAGCTAATTTCCGCCTGACTCCCGTCAAAATGTTCAACTTCTTCCGGTCGGTTATTCAATTTTGATTAGCTGCAAACTTCGGAAATAGTTAAGGCTTATCAACGAGACACTCGATCAGTCGTCACAAGATTGTGGTGAAGCATTAAAAATCTTGTTTTTCTGGTGTCCTAAATAACGCCTTATAAAGTTGGGATATTCTTGATGAGATGAGCGTTTTGGACATATTTCCGATGATATCCTGGTCATAACTGGAAGCAAGGTGGCCACAAAAAGTAATCGTTATGAGGAAAAGGCTTTTACAGAGGACTGCAGATGTGTTTTCCGATCGACAGATCAATTTGGAAGCAATTTTTTGCAATTTAATCTTTTTGCTTGCATGTTCATTTATTATGAATTGGAAACATTAATTAAATTTTGTGATTTGATGCCAGTAGTCAAATTTTGAAAGTAACAAACATTCGAACGTATTATATTTAATTAGCTATGTATTCATTCATTTTTATTTGTTTTCATTATTAGTTCATTTCATTTTATTTATTCATTTATTGATAGGTGATGATGACCGTTTACAATCAAAATTTATCACTGTCGGCTAAACAAATAATCAAATTCAATTTTCAGCTTGTCACTTATCTCGTCATCATTATTTCTGTGGCTAACTATGCGTCAGAAAACATCCTTTCTCGTTTGCTGCCTGTTAAATCATCGGAGGCGTTTCTCATCAACATCCGTTTGATCTTACGGAATGGATGATCGGTTCACTGAATGAATGCTTTCAGTTGGCTTGTCAGTTTCTGGTAAACGATACCCATTCAATAGATTGTCGAGAAGGGTTAAAGAAGTACTACCAACAACATGGTTCTACTAGCGAAAACGTATTCTACTAGTGAATAGTTAACACCGTGAATGGTGTCCTACCTGGATGGACAAGATGCAATCTGCATTCAACATGAAGAAACTGCATGCATTCATGAATGCTTTTGCTCAATATCGATATAAAAACTATTTGATATTTTTTCGCTAATGATTGTCTTTGGTTTCAGATTTCGAGTTATTGTCTTTGACAACAAATTTTGATTGCTTTTTCCGTGCTTCTATGCGTCCAGTTGTGCATTAATTCATTCATTCGATAGCAGTGTATTCTTCAAATAACCTTAATCTTTCCATCGTTCTAGGATGCAGTTAATTGTCTGCGCAATCAGTTAATTATAAATAAAAAAAATAGATTAGAGCAATGCTTTTCCGTCTTCATTATTATCAGTATGTTTTCGTGATCAATTCAGATGATCTGCTCTGCCAAGCTACATACTTCTATGCGTCTACTTTAGAAGCACAACACATACAGCTTTTGCAGTATCAAAAATGACGTAGACAGGGTCATATAAAAGTTGTATAAACTCTCAATTTTGATGGAGAGAACTATTTTCGATGAGAAAGAATAATTGATGATAGAATAAGCGATTTTTGCACCGCTTGAAACGAAGAATATAAGGAAAGGAATAAATCAAGATAAAACGAATTACTGTTATAAGAATAAATGAGGTCATTCAATGAGTTGCAAATGAAATAAAGCAGTATCAAGCAACAGATCGTTCGAAGTTGCGTTCGAATATGCATAAGTTTATTTGTATGCACTGGTTTGTGTATTTTACCTCACACATAAGCACTTTATCTCACATCACTAATATCAGTTCAGCCAGTTTTTAAACAGATTGGATTAAACCAAGTGGAATTCAAAAAAGAATTTTAAGTTTTTAAATGCACAACCGTCCCGAGAATGTTCTATGATAAATGGCTTACTAACACCAGTAATCACAGTCCGGTTGGAGCATTATTTTCTGACTAATTCACCGACCGGAACGTCTCTTTCAGTTCTACTACAAATTGGTATGAACAAGCAAGAACTATCTATGTTCATTTGAATAAAATAAAAACTGAATATTTTGATCGGAATCGGTCGAAATTTTGACCGCAATACAGTGAATATCATAATCTCTCTGTTGCGTTTTTCCAAAGTGTGTTCTATTTGATTAGGATAATCAGTTATAAAGAAAATTTTTAAGTTGTTCGATTTTGTGGTCAATTTTGGTAAACTGTAAGCGAGTGAGAAATAAGCACGGCAATGCAGTGAAACAATACTGGTTAGAATGAAAGAGGTCGACCTTCGCATATAAAATGAATCATCTTGAGATGCGGCCGGATCCCGTAACTCCAAACGAATTTGGTGCAGTGAAATACTGGTTGAACGATATGAAGTTTCATGTTCGTTCTTACATGAAAGAGCGCGCAAGCAGTACTTCCTTCCTCGAAAGCAATAAAACTGAAAATACTGATCATGATAATAATAGTAATAATAATAATAATAATAATAATGAAGATATTAAAAACGATTAAATGCTACATTCAAATTTGATAATAATCTTCTCTTCAATGCGCGTTACTATTCTTTGGACGATGATGATGAAATATTTTTGACGAATTAAACGCGAAAAAGTTTGCCTGAGGCATTGCGCGATCTCTTTAATGAATTTTAATATGCAAATATTCGTATCAAAAGGCCATCTAATACTGCATACATCCACCCAATCATTTGTTTGGATAGATCCGCTTATTTGGTTATGATATCATTTTCAGATAAGTATAAAAGCCGAACAAATCTCACAACATTTCATAATTTCACTAGCATTGTTGGCTTCTAGCAAGCGGACCTTCACTGACAGTGATTCAAGCTCATTTTGGTAAGATAGATGGTTGGGTAGATACTTCAAGTATAAATAGTCATCGAAGGACTGATTCATTTTATGAATACTACCCTCACCAGGGCACTTTATCATTATTAGTCAAACTTCTTAGGGAATCGCACTTTTTTGATTGGTTTCGACTTCAGTTTTGGTACGAAACGCATACTTATGGATGATAAATACTCTTGTGATATTTCTCAGTTCTGAGGCTGATAACGATGTTTCAGTGGGAATCGTCTGTTTGCACTATGATGCAACGAAGTACTCTTATTGGTCTACTGGTATGTGTGGCATTCGCAGTTGTTGCGTACGCAGAAGATGACGATCAAATGTTAGTAACTCAACGAGCACGTTGTTTCTATTCGATTCAGTTTAGTCTTGAAGCAATGAAAATTTGCGATTAATGAATTACTTCGTTCGGTAAAGAATTTTGTAGAATTTCAGTCAAACAAGTGGAAACTTTTCAGTCAACATGTTTTAGGGCAGATAAGCGGGCGATGCGAAACGCATTGGTGCGATTTGGTAGATCTGGAATGCGCAATGCACTTGTAAGGTAGCGAGATTGAAACAGTCAATTGAAGCATTCGATCATTTGGACTCTGTCTCAACTCCTTGTAGATCCTTGTGATTAGTAAGACTGTGATACAGCGGGTATTGCTTGTGGTTTATAAAAATTATTTCGATGCACTGAATTTTTGAGGAAAGAATTGATCAATTTATCTTGGGGAGAAAAAACGTCTACTGAAATCAGTTTAAAAGAACATTTTGTTCGACTTAAGAACGAGATTTTTTTGTAACGATACCATATGAGATTGATTTGATGCAACCTGAAGGTTTGGCAAACGAGCGGACGATAATGAGTATTCAACGTGGGATGAGAAGCGTAATGGAGCACCTCAACCATTTGGTTAATGTTAAAGAATTTTTAAAAACAGCCACTGGCTAACCGTTTTATAAGCTACGATCTACTGAATGGGCAATAAGAAACGTGACACAACTTATTTGATTTGTTGTTTCAGTTCGATTTGGACGATCTGGACGTGTCGATCATATTCATGATATTCTATCCACTTTGCAAAGATTGCAATTGGCCAATGAATGATCAGTTAATGTTGCATTGACGAAGGAGACAATCAATTAGCTTATGATGCTAATACTGATGACGACCGATCAAAATTGCGATCTTTTCTCCAGTTCGAATTCATTCATTAATCAATCATTCATTAATCGCTTATTTATGTAATGATGAATCAAAATACGTTTGTGCGTGTGCTTATATAAATGAAGAAAAATTTTATTAACACTATCTGAGGTGATGAATAAATGTTGCGTTTCGGTGAATCTGCTTCTCTCATACTTTCGTTTCTCATTAATTGCGTGAAGTCAAACGACGGCGTACAATTCATAAGTGTAAATCTCGTACTTTTGAATGATTGATTTTCACAAGCATTTCTTCACCTCATAGAACAGCTATCTGCTCTCTTTTTCAAATAACAATTCACGCATGGCATGATATCAAACAACTTTGCTAACTCATCATTGGACAGAACGTATCAGTTGTAGCTAGCTGTTGATATACTCGTTGTTAGCCTGGTATGTGCAGTAAGAAAGTGACCATGATCAGTGATGCATAATTTTAAAAGACTGATGCAGTCCCAGCTCCGGCTCCACGTTTTTAAAATTTTAGGCATCGGCTCCAGGTCTAGCTCTTGTGCACTGCTCCGGCTTCGGAGTAATCTAGATCAGGAAAAAACTGTCGTCCACGTCTTAGCTCTGACTATACTGCATGGTGCAGTGATATTTTTTGAGGGAACCAAAAAAATTTGTTCTCTCCAAAACTTGTGCATCACTTGTCACATCATAGTGATTTTTTTCTTTTCCTTCTCCTCCTTAAGCTTTTATCATAAACCCTCGTTTTTCAAGAACGCAGTAATCTGATTTTTTAATCATCTTAATCAAATAACAAACAGCAATATGAAAGCATACGTCACAAAAGTTTCATTCACATCAATGCATTCGCACATGTTGGCCTTAGCAACCACCTAATGCCAACTGCTGAGCTATTTCTGTTTGACAAGCAGTTACTAACGGCAGCGCTTTGGCCGATATTGACATTGTCACTCTCTATTGCTAACATCCATTCTTTCACCTGTCCATCCCATCCGTCCATCCGCCTGTTCAACCACCCAATAATTCGGTAATCATTTACTGCCGTCGTGTCCTTACTGTTTAAAGCTACTGCTACTGGTGTATTCTCATTTCCTTATATCCAGTCTCCAATAACCCATACAGTCCACCGTTTGTACCGAAAAAAAGAGTAAATTTCAGTTTTTATGTGCCTGCACTCAATATATCATTTCTACTGGAAACATTCACTATTTTTAGCATTACTATACAATTCAACGATTCTTCAGTCCCAGTTTCAGTTTTGACGTGCTTGTCTTGATGAATGATTTTTTCCATAATACTCATTCTTTATTCAATATGCTCTCTACAACACATTCAGCAGAAAGCAACCACACTAGCAGTAATTCAGGAACCATTTTTTCTAAAGGTTTTAGTTTTTGTCTATGGATCATTTCCACGAATAATCATCTTGATTACCTATCTCCCTCCATTCATCTCGAAATGTACACTTCTGAAATGGTGGCTGCTTATTGACTATTCGAGTCATCTTACTGTGCGTTGCATAATGCTTTATTCTTGGCCCCAGAATGCAAGTTTATAAGGCCAACATTTTGTTCAAGAATTCGTCCTTCGAACAAGTGCTGCTTCTAAGAACTACTGACTCGCCTTATGCCCATTGGCGATTATCTATTGATAATATCTATTTACTGTGCAGTGTTTTATCAAGCAATTCGGTCAATAAATCGACCAATCAACCAATTGAGATTTGGCAGTCAGGGTGGATGTTTGAAAGCAACAATGATAACTTAACTGTGTTATTATTGCTGCTACTCTGGCATTATACATACCATGGATTCAGCAGTGAACAACGAAACCAGCTATAACTGCACATTGGTTGCGATCAGTGAGACTTGCATAATGGGCGCTGAAACGGGGAACGCTTAAAAAATAATTAGAAACAAGAAAAACAAAGGGCCTGGACCACTCATCCCGAAGAGTCGGGTTGCTGTATGGGTGACTGGAAGACCTTCTCCCTCGTAGTGTAATTTGGTAACAGTTGGACTAATGTCGTTATGATAGATTGCGTGTAGCCAATGGTCATGTTAAATTACAACCTTTCATTGCGCGTATGGGTGTTCCCAACCCGTCGAGCTGCCAACAAGAGGGGCTAGGTTTAGGTAAACGCAACAGGCGTTCCCCGCCTACCGGCAGTCTCGGCGAATCGGGGAGAAACAACCAAAATATGCTAGCGACATGTACCCGAGTGTCGCTGGCATTAATTCAT